TATCTTTCCAAGTTTCCATGTTCTGTTTTTTTTTTTTTTTTTTTTTTTTTGAGAAGATACTTATAGCTTTATATTTCAAAAGGAGTGATCGAGGCCGGGGACCTCACAATTCTACCCGGTAGAACCGAATGGTAACCTGCTGAAAACCGGGTCCAGCGTCCCCAAACCCTCTCCCTTAATTCACTAAGTAAACTCCCCAAAACATAACCTCGAAGCGCAGAAAAAGGTTGGCTGCAAAAATATTTCTCTCCAAACCCTCAGCCTATATTCATCCATGAATCCAATTGAAGTACTGTCTATCTCTGTGAAACCAACCACTGGGCCAAGCCAGCTATTATTCTATGCCAATCCGATGCTGTCTACTGAGGCCGACCCCTACACCGTCTATCTTAATCATGCGTGTCTGCCAACCACGAACAAAGCGAGTATTGACCTTCATCATTAACTGTGGCTAGTCTATTCTTATAGGCCCAGGTCTTTAGGAACCAAATGCAATTTTTTATGTGCCGTCTACCTGCACTGTCCGCCTTATCCCTATTTTGATCATCCTTTGCTGTTGGGCCTTGGGGATATCTTCTCCGTTGAAGACCTTTGTGTTCCTTACTGTCCAAATAACTTCCATTATTACTCCTCTACAGCAGAGTGCAATATATCCCCATCCCGCCGAGTATGAAAGATTTGCGGGTAGAAATCCTGTAAGCATCCAATGATCCGTCCAATCAAAGGACTGTGCTACTATATTATCCCAATGTCTCTTCCACCAAATCATAAGTTCGTCCACTAGTGGACAGCAGCACCAAAGATGAGTAGCATTCTCCCATCCCCAGTTACAACGCAGGCACTGTGTGGGAACTTCCATTCCTCTACTTGACAACCATACTGCTGTTGTTGTTACCATCAAGGACTGTAGCCACATTATGCTGGCCTGTTTCTGGGCTGGAAAATTCATTAGTGCCTGCCACAGCTTACGCAGGCCTTGATCCGAATACCCTGAGACCTGTTGTGTCTCGGCCCGTTTCAGGGCCAGGGTCAGGAGTTTTTTCTTCACTCTCTCCTGTTGTAGCAGAACTACTTTCGGGCGATACTGGTACAGGGGTATCTGTTTACCCTATTCCCCCGGGACCTCCCATCCCAGAAGTAAGGGTTCCACTCTGAAAGACCTAGCCTCGCTGAGAAAGGTTGCTGTTTGCTTGCCTTGGCTGGATGTTTGGCTGTGAACTCGAACTTCCTCCATGTCTGCTGTGCTGAAGATCCTGCAGTTGGCGTCCTCCAAGATCAGGTGATCCGGACTTCGTCCCTGCGTCAAATGTTTCCACCTCTGGGCCCTTAGCCCCGAAACCAGGTATGGGCCCTGGATCTGAAAGATTTGATCAGGTTGATCCTTGTCCCTAAGCCAGGTCCCTGCCGCGTATTCCATGTCCGGTTGCAATGCTCTGAGTCATGAATCTGGTATAGCCTCCTGTAGTTCTGCATAGTTGATTGCTACATTGTGAAGTCTAGGGAGCAGTCTTCTGATCAAAGCATTGGTCTTGAACCTGGAGTGTTCGCTATCCCAGATATCTCTGAGTTGCATGACTCCTTTCTTGATCCAGCTCAGGCCGAAATTGCCTGCTCCTTCAGACGCCGAAAATTGAGACCCATCCTGGCGAAGTATGAGTGAATTGTCGAAGAGCACTTGGTTCAAGGTTTCTTCTTTTGTCACTGGTGCAGCACTCTTCCCAGGTCTGAGTTTGTTCCAAGCTCCTATAATTTTCTTCCAGGTTGTAGGTTGGACTCGACGGTTACTGAAGGAAGGCGACAGCAGGCTCTATCCATGTTCTGGCGGTGGATTCAGTCTCATTTTGCACATTTGGAGAGTAGTGCAGCTAGGCCATGAGACTTACCATGATATTTGTCCTTTGTGCATGTCCACAGAACAGCGGAGTGAGGTGGCAAAAAAGGAATAGTATTCTACGCCAAAAAGAAGAGGTTAGTATACTACACCGTATTGCCTCTCCCTCCATTCCACAAGGGACCCCTAAAGCAACTAAAAACCAATGACAAAACAGAGCCTTACGGCTCCCTGCCCTAAATGGCGGGATGCATAATCCCACCGTCCGTTGAAAATACAATAGACAGTTCCTAACAGTCCCACACCGTCACATGGACTAGTAAACTATACTATTCGCTGGCATGTGGGCCGAGGCCCCGGGAAGCGTTCTTTTTCCCCGCCCGCGCTTCTCTTGCCTTCCCCGCCCAAAGCGCTCCCTAACCCTGCCCGAAGCTAATTAGGTGTGTTCATAGGGCCTGTTTTTGTAGTCAGCAAATGAGAGGGGTAAAAGAAAGAGGGGTAAGGTCACAGATCTGAAATCATAACCTGCAAGGGGAAACAGAATATTAATCTGACAAGCAGGAAAACAAAAAACTGACACATGAGATTTTTCAAGTTTAGAATAACTGACTAGCAGAAGATTGCTTCACCGAGAGATCATCACAGAAAATGGAGAAGTCTTGCGGGGTACCCCCCATGCACCGAGGGCACGGGCGGGCGGGCCAGGATTTTCGCACGGTGAGTCACGAACCGATAGATGAAGATCTCAGTCGTTCGGTGATGCGTGCAGGTACGGAGAACGGAGCGGCGCCGCAGTCACGCTCGAAAACCAGCGAAAAGGCAAAGACAAACCCGGAGCGGGGCTGTTTGGGCTAGAAATAGCCGAGCCCCGTCGAATTACTGGGCAGATAACCAAGGGTACTAGAAGATCCCAAAATCCTTGTCCCTTCGGGTTGGCCCAATACCGGCCACCCCTATGCGGGGTACAGACAGATTTGACTGCTGCAGCAGGGGAGGCCTCTTTGGGCCTACCGGAAGTCGAATGGCCCAATGAAGACCTGGAGTGTGATATCTTGATACCGGAGAGCCCTGACATTGTTTTTAATGCGTCTGGCCTTCAAGGGAGTCTGAATGCAGGGGAGATCACAAATAAGGCAGCCTGTCTCGTCACTTGCCCAGGGTAAGTGTCAGCATCAGTGACAGTGAACCTCCCGCCTCTTTACTGTCGATGTCATCCTAAAGAACGGCGTTACCAGGATGATTCCAAACGAGGTCCAATGAGAGAGCAAGAGCTATGCCCTCTAAGTGTGTTCATAGGGCCTGTTTTTGTAGTCAGCAAATGGGAGGGGTAAAAGGGAGAGGGGTAAGGTCACAAATCTGAAATCATAACTTGCGAGGGGAAACAAAACATTAATCTGACAAGCAGGAAACAAGAAACAAACACATGAGATTTTTCAAGTTTAGAATAACTGACCAGCAGAAGATTGCTTCACCGATAGATCATCTCAGAAAATGGAGAAGTCCTGGGGGGTACCCCCCATGCACCTCCTCACCCATGCCAAGTTCTCCACCTACATACACCTAAACTGGTTCATCTGGTTTTGTGTGCAGGAAATGGTGGTTGTCTAGATTACTAAACGCAAGTCAAAAAGTTGATGAGTCGTTGCCAATCAGAGAGATTGAGGGGACCTACGAGGAAGGGTTGATTGATTCAGTGGAGTTAATAGCACAGCACAGGTTACCTAAGAACGGTGAACGAGAAAAAAGGCGAATGATGCAGTCGATGAGCAGCTGGTTAGTTAGGAATAAAGTGGGCAGAGACATCAGTAATTGCATAGATTTTGATGTTATTTCATTCATGCAAAGTCAGTGGATTCCTGAATTGAAATTGCACAGTCGTACCTTTGATAGAGAGGGACGGCCCTTTCCTTCTTGCAGTACATTGGAGAGTAGTCTCAGTTGCCTTAACATGTGTTTTCTTATTCTAGGGCGAGAAGGATTGCAAAATCCCTGCAATAGCAACAAGGTCCGTTATTATCGACGGGCTTATCGTAATTATACTCTAAAGATGGGTATTCGGGAGCACCAAGCTCCTTCTATGACAGCCAAAAAAATGCCGAGATTGAGTGATAGTATCCGCGAGAGTTTGAAGATAAGAATGGTTTCCGTCACGCCGAATTACTACACGATCTCTGCATTATGACTTATCTCTGGGAGAGTTGGCAACGTGGTGGGGAAGGTTTGAGATTGCAAGGAAAAGAGGTGGATGAAGAGGCTGCGAGAGTACAGTCAGGTTACACAAAGACCCTAAGAAGAGGAAGGCAAGAGGTGA